ACAGTAATATGAGGATACATCACTGATTAATTTATTGTTATAATTATTATTTTTAATAAAATAAATCTTTGTGAAAAACTCTACGAACTTATGCTACAACCCAATATCTACAAAACTGTCAATCCAACCTCTGGGTAATCACTTTCGGCCTAACGTTTCGTTAACTTTCATTGTACACAAATTCGCTGCCATATTAGACTGGATGTCAATAGGACAAGAGGGCGCTTTTCCTGACAATCAGCAAACAGCGTCTCTGTTACTCCCAAAATGTAGGTTACTTGAGTCGCAGTGATTCCGGAGGGTTTCAGAAGAGTTCACCATAACAAGCACGTCTGCAAGTCTTTAGAACTCACTGGAACCTGAACATTTTTTTCTGTTATGTTCATTTTCTCATCTTTTTCCGCAGATCTGCACATTACTATCAAGGGGAAAAATTGAAAAAAATTGGACCTCTGCTTTACAGCTCAACTGAGAAATCGACACACAACACCTGAACCGGTTGCTGATTACGCCTACGTAAACTACCATGATACTTCCAATGGCAGGGCCGGTGTTGCGAGGGACGATAAGGGGCTACCGAGAAGTATTCTGAAGAACAAACAGGTCTTGTCAATGATGTGTCATACAGCTCTGAATTGTAGAAAACAGAAATTTTGTTTATCTACCGTGCGAACTAACATTTTGAGAGTGTCATTATGTAGAATGAGTTCAGAGTGTTGATGTCGAACAGCGAAGTGGAGGCGATGGAACCAGCAGTCGAGGCGAGGGCGGACCTAACGTCGGGCCGGTGCGCTCGGTTCGTGTGCTGTGCTGCTATCCTTCTGCTACTTGCCTACCCCTTGCCTGTTTTTGTCTTAAAGGCAGTGTTGCAGCTCAGATGTGCTACCAGATCCTTTATGAGAATAGGGGTGTCCCCGTGCAGTCAGTCACGTCTCATGGCGTGCCTCATAGCTTAAGTCATGGTATCATGTCATCGTTTACAAATCTCGGTCATTTTCATGAGCTCGCCGATTTTTTCCGACTAGTTTGGAGCGAAAATCTGGATCATTCCGAAGGCCTTAGTTGCGTAGATGCTGAAACTACTTGCCTCCCTGTTCCATATAGTAGTGTGAAATGTCCTATAAATCTCATCAGTGGCAATCTTCTCGTCCATCCAAGACATTTCTCACATTGTGTGTACGAGGAATTAATGGAATGCAACGGAAAGAAATGGCTGCAATTGTTCGAACTTAACAATCCATTCATTTTCGAGAATACTGCCTTTGAGAATATGTATGCTATTCCCCTTAGCTTATCCTCTGTGCTTTTTTTGGCCTCGTTCCTTTGTTTCCTAACTTTCCCGAAAAGTGTCGTCTTCACATTAGTTAACCTCTGAAATCTACCTAGTTTTCCGGATCAAAAATGTAGAATTGCATCTGATTTAGGTTATTGATCGCTTGAGACGCCATCTATCTCTGGAAAAGAGTACATCTCCACCGAGACAGGTGGGCGCACCATTTTGAAGTCCTCCTTCAGATATTTCGCTAGATACCTGTCGATGTGAGCGCATATTTGTGTATGTGTACGTCCCTTTAGTAAGTGATGTAGGCTGTAGAAACATAATAGACTTTCAATGACATTAACTGATAGCAATTGACAATTGACTTTCGTCCTAAAAAGTAAGAGCTTCCCAGCTTTAGCGCTATCCGCATTGATAAAATTCAGGGCGATAAAGGTGTGCCGGATCGTTGCTGATTGGGAGCCATCACGGTAACATCTACGCCTGACCTCATAGGCTCCTACAGGATGACACCGTGCCCATTCTTCACTAATCTGGGTGTCCCGATGTCTTGAATGTTCCACAATACAAGGCTCCCTTCTTTTTGGCTGCCGGGCTGATGGGTCATCATCTTCTTTTCCTTTGCTACAGTAACGTTGGCGATCTTCTTATATTTTATTTTGTGGATACGTGTGTGTTCTGGGAAATCGCATCTTTTGCCAGCGCTTGTTGGGTCCTTTTTGTTATTTACCTTTACGCTTAACTTCATTGCTCCAAAACCGTGCTGCCTTGTTTCCTCCGAAATGACTTCGGTCTTTCCTGGAGTTCACTTGCAAACGGTAGTCTTAAAGCCTGCTTGATCCGTCATTGGGGATCTGGATGAGCATCTTCAACTATCCCGATGTCTTCATTCTCCGTTCAGTGCACCTTCCACCACCACATTCTCTGTTCCATGCTCACCCTCGCTTACTTGGGTAGCTAGATGACTATGTCTTCCAGAAGAGCGCAGAGCTCCAATGAAGCTCCGGTGCTGCCATCACCTCGCCATTTCGTTTATTGTCTTTGCCGTTGAAGAAGATCTTGACAACATCTCCAAGTTCTCACGGTTTGCTCCTTTCGGGCGTGTCTCCATAGAGTAGAACATGGAGGTGCTGCGCCTCATTCAGTTCAGCGCCAATGTCGAGTCCCAAATCGAGTTTTTTTGGCCGAGATCGTTCATTCCACGATTGCCGTCACACACTGTCTATACTCGGGGTGATAGTCTACGCTCTGTCTGCTTTCGGGTGGTTCCGGGCATCATGACTGGGTCCTTTTATGATTTCATTAATTTTATCGTGACTAAGTTATTCATCAGCCAGCCTATCAGTCTGGGTCTCACTCTGCTACTAACACATTTTATGCAACTCACGCAAAGCATGGTCTTTGTCTCGTCAGGAATCTAACCGATGGCTTTTCTGTGTGAAGACGTGGGCCTATTATACTAATCAATCGACTACCACTGCCTGGTCTTTTCGTTCGCATTGTTCATTCTTTGATCTCATTGTCGATATCACGTCGTTGTGGGATATCCTTTCCAAATGTCATTTTTCCTGCACTTAACAATCTCAATTTTTTACAGCCTAAAAAGAGCTCCATTCTTTACAGGCAGCCCCTCAGCAGACAAACTTTGGTGGAACACGGGCAGCAGCACTTAATCCGACATCCTGGGAGACCCGGGAACGCCAGGCTGAAGAAAGTGGGGCATGTTCTTCGCTATTCTTTCCACATTACTAGCTACTTTGCTTCAGACCCAAAGAAGAAGCGTTCTATATTATCGTTCAACAGAAGGAGGACTAGCGAGGTGCGCATGGGTACAGATGGAAAACTGGTCACCAATGGGTGAGTCTGAACTGAGCAGTACCTTCGAATACTTGTTAGCGATGTCTTCGAAATTCAGATACGATGACAATTCTCGCTACAAACGGCCGAGCTCGCCTATAGAAAAAATTAAATCACTATTCCGCAAAAATGACAACTCGACCACCGCCGCCGCACTGCCCAGTAACGACTACTATGCGGGACGGTTCGTTGCGGGATTATAGTCATAGTATATGTATATTTCGAAACACTATATTCCTGATATAAAAATTTCAGCTACTCTGGAGGAATCGCAGGTGATAAGGTCTACGGTGCATATACCACGACTAATGTGGCTGCGGCCAGAGAGGCTTACACTCCCCAATATAGGAAGTATCCAGGTGAGCAAATAACCCAGTTTCATGTAAGATTTCTTGCTGCAATGAGGCCGTCCTATGGGGGAAAATCCCCTGAAAGCCCGAATTTTGGCCGCCCTGCATCCATCACAGGCCCTAAGGTTCACAGGTTTGAAAGAGGCCTGATTTACCCAGCATGCAGAGTTTTGAATGAGAGCCCAATAATGAACCAGGAGAGCTACAAGTCTGTTTACTCATTTGCTATTAGAAAGCAAGTTATGCTGTGGTGTCTTTTGTAGGAATTACAGCGACGACTTGACAAGGCGGATTCAATCGTACTGTGAATTTGTTACAGAGTAACCCGAACACACACTCAAGCGCCTCCAAACACCTGTCACATATACGACGCAAAAAGGTGCCCCGGGTGCATCTCATGGGGATGGGCTGACGACTTGAACTTCTCATGGTGTGCACTAACTTTTTGACGACAATGGCACCCACCGGTGGTTGCCACTATGTATGGCACATGGTTCATTGGCACCCAGTTTTGAGAGCCACCATACTTTCTTGTTTCTTACCAACTGCCGAATTCAGTAAGCCATTGGAAGAGTTTTCTTCTGAGACAGTGCCACTCACCGGCGGTTGCCATTCGTGTGCGAAAGGAGGGGAACGAGGTCCAAGGGCGCGTCACGTTGGAATCCGTATTGTCGTCAAAGGGTACTCGAAAGGGGGGAAACTAGCAGGAAATAGTTCATCGTATCATCGTAGTTGAATAGTCTTAGTAACTAATTCTAGATTAGGCTAGACGCAAGGCTGAAGAGCCTGCTTTCTAGAGCTTTTTACAGGATCGTCAACCCGTGATGCGTCTACTGTCCTGAATCGATACAGTTACACTCCAGGACTGACAGACCAGCGGCGTCACTGGTACGACGACCACAACATCTACTGAAAATCCATCATGAAGGCAGCAGAAGCCAAGGGACATCTGTTGAGTTTGGCTAGCTGTGCTCAGTCTTGTTCTATCGTTTCCTTCTGTTGTCCCACACTTCTGCTGAACCTATCCTCTGTAAACATTGTAGTGCTATGTTAGGACAGCGATCGACCTCTCCTTGAGTGCATGGTAGTTGGTGATTTATGTCTTGAGCTAGTACTGCACGAGGTGACTACTGAGTAACTATTCCCTCGTGTTAAATCGGAACGATTTTCTTGCTCCCCGTTCTGTGCCTTCAGTGTAGCTGACCTGGAAGCTTCACGTTCACATATCTGCTCGCTCCTCTCAGCCATACAGAGCCATCTCAGTCATTGTAAAGAAATCAAGGACCATTCAATATCAATTATCCTTATAAACCTATCATAGCTGTGGGGTGGAGTATGCTTCATGGAAAANATCAAGGACCATTCAATATCAATTATCCTTATAAACCTATCATAGCTGTGGGGTGGAGTATGCTTCATGGAAAATTAATGCACGATTTTTTACTTTGCACTCAATAGAGTTAGTTTTCGTTCTGTTCGCTTACACTACGCCTTTAAGTATAACTAACCTCATGTAATCTTCTTCCTTTGCAACTATTTGATCGCTGGCGGCATAAATGAGACCTCCTCTGACAGTGGTCACTTAGAGTTCGACACGCTTTGTCTGGCGGTCGTGCGTGTTTGTTGTAGCACATGCATCATCTTCACCATTCGTTGTTATCCGGGATCCCGGAATTTCATTTCTTTTAATTGCAATTCTATGTTAATGACTATTATGGACGAGTGCTTTTTTTGTACATCATAACGGGCGAAATCAGTCGATTTAATAAAGACATTTCCATCGAAGTTTTTCACAAGCAATGCAATTATTATAGGATCCTCTTCTAATAGCAAAATTTAGCCAAAATAAGAGTAAGTGTTCGGCATGGGCGGTATGGGTTTTATTGCGAATCGCAAAGCATGTCAAATTCAAGAGACGTATTCTAAGGTCCACCACATTACAAGCCCTTCCACACCCAGTTTTTTACAGGAAGGTTTGACAACAANACGTATTCTAAGGTCCACCACATTACAAGCCCTTCCACACCCAGTTTTTTACAGGAAGGTTTGACAACAAACAACTCTGGTTGGTAGTTTAATCCGTTCATTGCGGATGGATGTAGCTCATACAGATACAAACCTACGCACCCCCACTCACATACATATGTATACATGTACATATATGCATACATGTACGCACTTACGCACACACATACCTGTTGTGGGTGCGGCCAATGACACATCAAGATCAACAAGGCGTAAAAGGGCTAAGCGGAACCCCGCTTACTGGGGGCGGTGTCCGAGGTGAAAGCACTCAATTGGGTCTCTAGAAAAGTCAGGCACTGGGCGAAATGAGCAAAGGTTAGGAAAGGGTCAATAAATCTGACAAAGGAGTTTCGTGCGCGTTGGACAGAGCGTCTTCAAATTGGCCGATGCTTTTAAATGGACTTATCTCTTGGTTCCAACAAAAGGTGCCTGTCCGTCCCGAACTTTGGCATCCTTATTAAATGTAAAGCTTATGAACTGCTAATGTTTTTTGATTCAATCCTTAGTTGTGGAGAAATGCTGGAACAAGCGCGCAAGGCTTTGCCCGTGCCTCACACACAAGCAGCAAGGCCTGAATGTCATGCAAAAGTGGGGAGGATTCCGTGGTTTTCAGCGTGTTCCACTTTAGTTTCTTTACTTTAGCTCCGTTTGATTCTAATGAAATTGAGTTACGGTATCAGTTTACCAATATTCTTAACGATACGGCAAATTGCTCCAGAATCCATGAATTTTCCTAGTATGAATCAGTCCTTTATGTAGGAGCCACCAATTGAGAATTCGCCCTGCGCTACAGAGTCCAACTCCTACCAAAACGAACGAGAGAAAAGCCAGATCCCCTTCTACTAGACTGAATTCCACTTTACCTTTCACAAAAGCCGCCCATCGATCAAGGAAAACTGTGGCGGCGCAGTACCAAATATTTAAAACGTAAATCACCAGCTCCAAACGAAACATTTCAACATTCTTACTGAAGAAAATAGCAGACTTGATGATGAACTGCTCACTAACACACACTTCCCCCCATTTGGAATGTTCAGCAGATCCGTCGATGCACCATATTTCCGCTTTCCTAATTATTTCAAACAAATCAAAATAGCTCGGGAAAGAGTGGGGTATCAGAGAGTACGGCATTGATAGAAAAAAATTGTTTACAAATAATTTCTGCTTCGTTTCGAGTGAAGTAAGGTTCATTGCAAGTTCAATCAGTACTCATCCTCACCTTCATCGGTAAGTATGCCATCCCCAGCAATACGGGCATCTGCTGGTCGAAAGTGCATGCACATCGCTGCTCCCTTTCCTCGTTTCGAAACCTCAGAGCCTCACCAGGGGGATTTGATGTAGGAGCTCAGGGGGTGAATTGGAAATCATCTCGAAAGCTTATAGTTGGTTTGAACATGTTAGTCGAAGAAGTTCGATGGTGTCGCTGGTCGGGAAAAGACGCGTTCGGAGCTCCCAACTGACACGTGGTTATCTAAGTCACTATAAAAGCCAAAATCAAGAGAGACGTGGTGTTGTGCTTTCGTGGTTTCACCGGTAGACGTCTTCAGCTGGTGGGTGCCGCATCGTTCTTTGCCAGATCCTTCCCGTAACATTCTTTTTCCAGATACATTAGCTGTATCTAACACTCTCGCTTGTATCTCTCACTGCTCGTCTTTTTGCAACTATGGCAAGTATTCCACCTATTTTCGCTCTCCACTAAGCAATTCCACATGCCTGATACGGATTTCAGGTGCCAACTAAGGGATCTGACCAAGGAGAGGACATTCCGAAAAACGACTCAGCAAGAGTTCCTGCATCCGATTCTCGCAGGAATGAGGTACAGATGATCTTGACCTTATACTCATCACCTGCTCATTCACGGTGTTACCTTTAGAGTCTTTCAAGCGAAGAAGTCGTGAAGAAGATATGTTTTTCGAGCGGGTGCGATGTCGGCTCTCATCCTATATCCGGAGATGCAGCCGTGCCTGATCAGGAATACCTCGACCAGCTGATTCGGGATAAAGGCGACCTTCGCTCAGTACACGCAGCTCCTTTCCGTCATCTAACTAGACTTATCGATAGAGGTTAGAAGCTGATCGACATTAACTTTTCGCAAGATCACTCAATGTCAAGATGGATACAATTTCATCGTGAGCCTTGCTCCTAGCCACAGCTTTCGTGACTGACATCAAGCACAGGGCCTTGAAACGTAGTTGGCGCTCTGCTGAATTGTAAATTTTTCTCGCGGGACTTGTTTTAGTGCCATTACAGTCGTGAATTCATCACCGAAGGTTTGAATAGTCGGAAAGATAAGTGAAGACAATTCATTGACTACTACCGGTCTAACACGGACGCCGAATGTCCCTTGCGTAAAAGGGATCAGTTGCGAATATGACTGTCATTTCACATCAAGCTCATGATTACAAGCAGAATCGCGTAATAATGCTCCCAATTCGTGGCTCACAACGCCACTTGTACGGCGGAGGGCTCTCAAAGATTTCGTAATCTTACCGATCTTTAGCATAGTGAAGGATTAAAGGTGTCAGTGTTCATCGTCAACCCAATTCGTGATTCTCAACCCATTAGCGCTATCATATCATTACACCGACCTTCCTTATGACAACTATTACCACCACAGATTGCGGTTTCCCATATCACTCTTGCTTTGGTTTGCTGAAGGACAGATAGGTATCCTACTAATATCTGCAATGCGCTAAGCAGTGTGCGTGTTTGTGTGTGTGTATGTGTGTGGTGTGTGTATGTCTGGGAATTCACAAGTTCTGTTCCCGTGGGCCTGGAGAGTTCAAATTTTTATGAGTACAGGCCGAAATGTTGAAGCATTGACGGTAGGTGGCACGTCTAGACTCCGTCCATAGGGGCGGAGCATGAATAAAATCATTTCGGACCTAGAGCGTTTAAACGTGCTAAGACTACACGAGACAGGATGGGAACAGCGACGGGAGCTGCAGGACCGGACTCCGCCGACAGGAGAGGAGTTTGCTCGAAGTGAATGGCTGAGCGGAAATTCATCATTCCTCTTCCTGTGGGCCTGGAAAGTTCAAATCTGGTTGGAGTACAGGCGGCAGGATGGGAACCCCCGTAACAGGCCCACAGAGCGCGGAGCTTATGCGAAAATAGTTAATTTGGACCACAAAGGTTCATATTTAGTAAGAGTACAAGGGGCAAGCTATGGATCTCCTTCACTGAGGGTTTTCTCTCACTGATGGAACCCAGGAACCGGGAGCGACGAGGCTAAGTAGGGAGTCCCCAGGTAGCGGATAGGGGAATTAATCGCCGACCAAAAGTAACCATTATTTGCCCAGAGACGCGGCTGGATTCAGGGGATGGACTCCTTGATTCTGCTATGCTGTGTCGATATACCCTCTGTCTCACGCAGGCGTATCCACGCATACGCGTGTCGAGTGTCTGTGGGTGCAGTTAGTATCCTGCCCATAGACTCAGCCAAACGCCTGCATTCGAGTGACTGGAAAGTATGTGAGAGGCGATTCGGGCCGGCCTCCTAAAACAAAGACTAAGCTTCGGGATAGCCTGGCTAGCTCTCGGTGTCAAGCCAGCCCCCACGTCAGAGCCTGGCAAGCTAGGTATCCACCCGCTAAAAACACAAATGGGCCTCATGCCACTGAACCTGAGGGAGCCCCAGTACGGCAGCGTTAGGTAGGACCTCTCGGCACTAAAATCTCCGGGCCGAATAGGCTGCTCAAAAGGAGAAGGATTAAGATGGCGATCTGTACTTTCAACGCACGGACGCTTGCATCGGAAGCGTGTATAGAAGACCTGATGATGCAAGCGAAGAAGATCAACTACGACGTCATCGGACTAACCGAGACAAGAAGGCATCGCCCGCTGCACGCCGTATTTGAGACTGGGAAGAACTGCTTTCTGGAACAAGCGACAGCAGAGGCCTCACAGGCGTAAGTGTCCTCGTCAATACGCACGTGGCCATGAACAACGATTCGTACGAAAGCTTAGCAACCCAAATCGGACGTTTGCGAATAAGAAGACGTGGCTCAACCCCAGCTCTAAGCATCTTCGTTGCCTACGCACCAACTTCGAGCTACGAAGAAGAGAAATTGTAAGCGTTCTATATGGATCTGGACAGGCTCTGAGAAAACCGCATTTTCTTCGAGGTTATCGTCGGTGACTTTAACGCCAAGATTGGCTCCAGAAGAACGGCAGAGCTACACATCGGGACTCAATGGAATGAGCAGGGTGAAAGGCTGTCCGAGTTCATCATGTCGACCCACACGATCCATAGTAACTCACAGTGGCTGCCTTCATAGTCCGCCGGCCGGCCGGCGTGCCACCCGCCGGCAGGCAGTGTTGGGGGGGAGGAGGGCGGCAGACGGTCGGTCAGCCCCTCGAAGGGCTGTAACCAAGGAGAGGCAAGATCAAAAACCATTTGTTCAAGCAGCCAGTTCAAGAAGCTCTCATTCGCAATGGACATAGGTGTCACCTGGCGAACAGTTCCTTAATGAAGCAGATCAGATCATCTCTAATCGGAGGCTTTGCCTGTCTGATGTCGCTGTTATTCCGAGGATCTACACGGGATCAGACCATCGTTTCCTCCGCGCTCGATTCTGCTTCTCTGTGCGTGGAGAGAGAGCTATGAAGTTTAGGAAACGAAACCCCAAGACCATTACCAACTGGGACCACTTCGCTTCTTTTGCGAGTGAATGAGAAGACTCCATTATCGACAACATCGACGAAGAATACGACCGGTTCGTCAAACACCTCCACGGTAGGGCTAACAAAGCAGAGAATCTACTAGTAGCGAAGAGGCGACTCTCTCCGGAGACTCTCGAGCTGATACGCCAGCGGGAATACGAATACGAGTTACAGGCAATCATCAACCAACGTCCGTTCTTGCGAAGCTATGCAGACAAGAGATAAAGAAAGAACTGGAAGGGAGTAGAGCAGCAGTAAGGACGAAGCCGCCGAGGCAGGAACAAGCATTTGCATAGCCCGACGGAGCTTCGCCAACAATTGTAAGAGTAAGATGACTTTCCTTCGTCGTCCCGACGGAACAGTTGCTGCATCTGGAAGAGCAATGGGGAAAGTCATCTACGACTCCTACTCGGATCTCTTCGACAGCGACGTCCGCCTGCCACCTACCCGCTTAGGCAGTACGGGTAGATTGCTCCTTCGGTCCTCTCTCTCTCGAAATTCGACACGCCTTCACAAAATGCCGCTATGCCTTACGTTCCTCGATTTGAAGAAAGCCTTTGATACCGTTGAGACAGAAGCGGTAATTGAAGGCAACCTGCTTGTTCCTACTCAATATGTAAGGTTGCTTCGTGAGCTCTACGACAACTGCACGACCAGGATTTCACCATTCTACAAGGAAACGTGAAGGGAGAGGTCCGACGGGGCGATAAGTTTTCACCCAAACGTTCCAGTGCCGCTCTCGAGAACATCATTTGGAATGGGAAGGACAGTCGTGCTTATAACACCGAAAATCGAGCAGGCGGAAGGAATGCTGGCTGAGTTCGTCAGTGCTCGTGGAAAGATCTGCTTGAGACGAAACTTAACGAAGACGATGTTCATGAAAAACGGTTTGGTACCTAATGCTCCCTTCACGTTTAACGGGAAGAATATCTCCGAATGCTCTAGCTATGTGTATTTAGGTCGGGAAGTGGAAATCGAAGATTAGGTGGGCCGGACACGTTAGGCGATATAGTGATGACCGTTGGACCAGGGAAATTGCTGACTGGTTCCTTCGGGACATCAAACGAGCTTCAGGACGGCCGCCAACGAGATGGTCGAACTTCTTCACGAATGCTCTGAAAGAAAGGAATATTGGACCTCGTGTCCCTGAAGCAAGAACAATTCACTGGACCGCTCTGGCTCGTGACAGGAACGAATGGAGACGTTACTGGCGTATGCTTGAGGAAACTAACGAACATCGGGACGACAGGTGATGCACGTGATACAGGTGATTACTACCCAGTTTAGTCGCATTAACATGCGATTGAACCACACAGTGTGCTACTGAGCGGTTCGGAGTGTGTAAACATATTTGACCGAAAAAATATTTGTATACATATCTGGTCAACAAGCAAACCCACACACCATCTCATTATATTTGAGAGGAGTCAGTGTTTGACCGTGGACGTCGGCTTGTAGGTTTGTCGATTTGTCGATTTGCATGTATACCTGTCGATTCGCCCGGCTAACGCCGGGCTTCCTTCCTTCTCATAATGGAGTTTTTATAATAGGCGAAGCGCACGCTCCTTCTTTGAATAGAATGATTCATTCCGAAACACGAAACGTGGCAGAAGACTGACAGGGCATGCAAGGAGTATGAAGAATGTGTCGATGATAATGCCTACAATTAGAAGTGTCGATCTTTTGCTGTTCATCTTGAAAATAATGACCCATTGAAGGTTCAACTGGTCCGAATTGAATACTTTCGCTCACAACACGCCCCTTGTGGTCTTGTCCTGTCACCTACCATCAGTGTTCCCATATTGCCTCCTGTATTCCCACCCATTTTTAGCGCTCTAGGTTCAATTCGAAATTGTTTGAGCAAGCCCCGCTTCCTGTGTTCGGAGCCCGGCCCTGCCATTCACAATAAGTACTTCCATCCTCCTACTAAGTTTGAACTCTCTAAGTCTACGGGGACCGAAGCTATGAATTTCCTGTCAAACACACACAGACAAACCAGCAAACACACTTAGCGCATTATATATAGTAGAATCTGCCCTTCCTGAAAAATTCCATTGTTATAATCTGCTGCCAAACGCCATTTGACATTGAAGGAGCTCATATGACTATTAATTATCTCCTTATACAAATCATTCTGAATAAAACCTCGTAAATAGGTTTCTGGTTTCATATTTCACAGTGTTCGGAAGGTTGCTACTTCTGATCAGTATCGAGTCGTAATAATGCTGAATTGCTGAAAAGTTATCAGTACACATCGGCAACCCAGTTCTGACTAGGCAACGGTAGTTCACTTGCCATGGAATTTTGAATGGGAGCAGGCAATAACACATCAATTACTGTGAAATTCTGCTCAAGAATTTAGAAATTGAGGCTGCTAAATGATTTTCGCAAAAAGTAATGGCCTGACGAAGTTCGAAGTCGTGTGTACTATGGTGTTCTCGCTCTGCAGGGCGGTGACAGAAGTTTGTTCCCGGCTATGTCAAAAATTCGGCACGGCAGATAGCTCACTCTTCTGACAGCAGCTTTTTCAGCTTTCCTAACATTAGTTGTAATAAATGCACCTTATTTCGGCTGTGAATGACGCTAGTATGCAACTATTTAAAGGCACAGTTCACGATAATTTTGGCTAATACAGATTATGACGAAAAATGTAAGATAAGGTGGGAAACAGTGCGAAACAGTGCGATAAACACGACGAAAGGGTGTGAATCGGTAACCCAAAGTGAAAAAAAGCTTCGAAAAAATCGTTAAGAAGGGGGGGGGGGGGGGGGGGGGGGGNGGGGGGTGGACGAGAATTAGATCGGAAAAATGGAGAAGAATAGGGCGAATGGATGAGCTATACAACGCGTGTCATTGCGTATGTGTGGGTCGTGGTGCATATAGCTGACTACAGTAAGTATGTCCAGTATGTCCTTCAAAATTCATTCACTGAAAAGCACAAGTTAGCAAAAAAAGCCTAGTAACAGCCAAAATAGCCCAGCTTTTTCAACGTTCTCTTGTAGAAAATCAGAATAAGGAGCAAAGCTGCAAAAAGAATAACAGAGAATCATAGAAAAGAGGAAAACATCGCCTCATTACTGATCAGCTGAATGTGTGTTGAATGTGTGGGTCCTGGCTCGAATATTGCAATCAGTATCGCCTGGACACTCGCCTGGCACATCATCGGTTGAGGAGCCAGCATCCGGACGATCCCGTAGCAGGGCTCCCACTACGCCTTGGCTGTTGAGTTTTGGGACCTGACAGCGTCGTTCCGGTTACCCTTGAGGCCACTAAGTATTCCTAAAAGGAGAACTCAGTAAGTTTTTTTTATCAAACTGTGCCTTTAAGACAGGATGGTACTACAAGTAGATTGTATGGCTCTGCTTTGCTTCGAACACTGATACACATTCAACAGAAATCACCTTCAAACATGAACATTCTATGTCTGCGAGGACATCCTATGTCTTTTGATGGAACAACCCAAAGAATGCGTGAAACAAACATGTTGTTCACAAAGTGCACGCCCCTGTGTATGCTGCGGGTGCCGATCTGATTTTCGCGTCCAGTTGAAATGTAATTTATCAGTTACCAGTTCCCTCACCAGTTAATCTTCAATCGGTTCGACTAGAATCGACCGACTACTTGCAGCTCGGCGACGTAACAGTGGCGATCAAGATTATCAGGATCACGGCGATAATGACGGACTAGCAGTTCCAGCAGTTCCTGATAGAACTCACGGATGCTCTAAAGGAGCCATTCAACAGCTGATGTCGAAATCAACCTCATAGGCAGTGGAACCACACAGAAGTTCTGACGTGTTAACAAGGCGAATCGTGGAGCTCGGCCATGACCCCGACGCTGATCTGGCGTTTCGAGCATGCTGTCAACGGCATCAAAACATCTTTAACGTGAACAACCAAATGCTCGACGGGTCAACTCGTGTTCGACTAATTCTTCACAAGCTATATGCTACATGATCCGCATGTACTCCAACTATACTCTGCTCAGTAAAGAACTAGATGTCTTATTCGAAGAAGCCCTGTCAACTCTGGTAAGCCTGTTCGGAATACAGCAGTCATTACTTGTTCGCCGCTACGCCCTTATCAAATTGACCACAAACCTCAACGACGACTCCATCACCTACGCCGGAATGTCAGCCGTGAATGTGCAAGTTCAGGTTTCAGGCGTTCAGGAAAAACCAAGTGTCTGATCCTGAGTGTAAGCGGTCTACAATCCAGCGACGACACTTCCATTCGCATAAAATTACCAGTTATAATCAAGGCCAATTCGAAATATCCTGTCCACTCTCTCGGAATGGAATGCAAGCGCTCACTAGCCTAAAACAGGGCACGAAAATGGAAGAAGATGAGACACCTAGCGTACATGCAGTCAGTCCCTCGTCTACTGAATGGCGACAGTCAGAAGAAGCAAAGAGCCTCGTTCACCCGCATCAGAAGCGAAACACGGTCTAGACGTTCGTCGAAGCTGCTAATTTTGTGAAGCAATTTATTTCGTCAGATTCTGCGGGTATCGACGACACAATGCTCCGACTGCCACAGACTACGCTACCAGATCTAATGCCGTATTCACCGTTACAAATGTACAGGGCAACTACCGGAGATTCCCCACGATAATCGCGGACGGATGACCTATACAATTTCAAGTGGACAGTGCAGTAATCTTCTAGTATCGACCGACTACATGCAGCTCACAGACGTCACAGCTATGTTGATGGAAACCCATTCCTCTGTGCCTCTCCTGACCAGTACTGGTTCATTCTGAAAAGAATGCTGGTCCATGGTCGTAGAGAAGGAGCATGTTCAGGAACACCCAAAATTATGGACGCCTATTCATTGTAATGTATTAACGTATTTCGAGTCTCGAAGCTTAGGATGACAATGAAACTGTACGCATTGCTTACATTACGAACAACAATAAGCCGCAATCACATTTGCTGGTGACGACGGGCAGCTCGCATTGGCACTAATCTTGACCGAGCTTGGCTCACTGGCTGGAGGACCGTATTTCTGGAAGGATTACGGGCTGTTTCAGGGAGCGGGGTCGGATCGGATCAATGCTACAGTGAGCCATCAGTATGCTCTAACTATACTCTTGTTTTGCCCTTTTTTTACACTGCCTTAGCAAGACACGGTGCAACGGAAATCGTCAGTCACTTGCTTCCTATGATCAAGTTTGTGAAAGTGCCAAATGGCAATGCTCTCATCGTACTGAAGACGCTCCTGCTCTGATCTGCTGCTGCTCATCAGATGAAAAGGAGCGAACAACCTGCTTGTGGCCGTTGGCTGGATTCCTTTCCAAACGCAGTACTGATGCTGTCGACAGCTGCAGCATATGGACCTTAGCGCTATCAGTAGATGACGACTGCATCGTGTCCTGCTTTGCAAACAAAGCACTCAAGGACCTTTACAATTTCTATTATTGGTAACGCGGCTGTTGTTCTGTAATGATTTGATGTTCCAAGGGCGGCAAAGGATTCCATAGAGGAAAGACGTATCACGTGAATTTTGTGTTTCACTACTAGTTCGGAGAGGAACCCTGAATGATGGACTGTCTACTAGGAAGGCTAGGAAAGCTACTGAAAAAAGAATACCACCCAAGATTAAGCTCTATCTGAGCTGTTTACAATTCAAAGACATAAATCAAAGGCAGAAAAGGAAATCGAAAAAGGCAAGCCATCAACGCTCATGGCTCCGACTTTAGCCAAAAAATCTGTAACACTTTAGGATAGGCTCTAAATTCTACCCAATTCGTAGTAATGTTGACGGCTTATTGCAGAAATCGCCCGTGTCGTCGCGGCCATGTCCGCTCAAATCCATGTGGACGATGCTGCTGCAGAAGAAGAACGTGGTGAGAAGGTGGTCCTCACCGAAATGATTTTGGTGCCTGTTGACCGTTATCCCAGAGTGAGTTCGACCCAGCTGAATAGCTTAAATGGAATTATCAGAATTTCCGCATGAGAAATAGCTGAAAGTTTCGGCCATATTCTGAGGAGACTCCAATGCAAATATAAACATGACTAATGGGAAAAGTATGCAGGTTACGGTCAGATTAGGCAACAGCTGTCAATATTTTCTACGTTCCTTTTTGTAAAGCAACCCACTTTTGCTTGTTTTCAACAAGAGGCTACGTTGCAATCCCGTAGGCACCGCGTTAAGAACGGAGTAGAAAAGTGACGAGAACTAGTAAAAGACTCTTTTGATGTTCCTCATAGGCACATTCATATCAAAATTCGGGCGGAAAAACCGTAGAAACAACATGTCCCGGATCAGATGGTAGGCGGGCATGCACGGCCATTAGAACGATCAAGTTCATTATTAGGTGACCTTCCCAACTCCTCTACGGGTGAAAAAAGGAGTCAAGCTTTACTACCAACCTGGCAGACGGTTCAATAGCCTCTTGCCTTCGAAAGTCTTCACAGTCCCTATCAATTGATAACCCTTACAACCTACCCTGTCCTGTTCTGTATATTTCGATATCTTTCAATTATCGGTTTGAGGGGACAGGAGTTACACGTTTCCGATCAATCACCCACCGACAGACCGGTATACCGGCTCAGTGAGTTATATAGAGTAACTACGTACCACTCTACGTATCTTCGTCTGTGTGCAAGGGACCAAACGACCAGGTAGCTCGCCCAGTTATCCTAATTATAAGAGTGTGGCTGTAGAATGACTTTCAGGGTATCGCTTCAGGTCTGCTGGAACGGTCCTCCAGGATCCAAAGACCAGCTTCAAATATCTTCCAATAGAGCTCCTTTCTCTCGGCTTGGTGCAGCCTCCACCGGATCCTCCGCTCTGTCCTTGTCCTTGATCTCCTGGAGAGCCTTATGGTTATGTTTGCTAGAAAAGGTCTGTGCTACGTAGCCGCACGGCAGTACCTTGATATCATTTACAGCTTTGAGTGGCGATCTTCTTACGAGCACACGATCTTCTTCCGATTCTTTCCCTCCACTGCTGTAGGTACCTTCTGAGTCTTTGAATTTTACTTTTCGTGAAGGAGGTGCTGCTGACTGCCAAGCCATGTGCTGAAGCCAGGTCGAGGACGATTTTTCCTTCTTAGCATCTAACTCCTATTCTCTCGCCTCCATGTACCCTTTCCAGTCCTTTCCTGTCAATGCCGACGTTCCCATTCAGATCACTTATGGTGAGATATGAGTTTCTTTCCGGGGACCGATCTCATGGTATCGTCCAGGCTAGAACTAATCTTTTTCACACTTGGGGCAGCCGGCTTGTGGTGCGTGCACGGATATTATTGTCCAGTGCCCCTCTTTCGTGTCTATCTTCTCTGCCATTACTCGGCTACTGATCCTGTTGACGGCAGAAACAGACTCCTCGGAGGATTCAGCCACTGCTATGGCTACACCACTTCCTTTGTCGCCTCCGCTGTAATAGAGTTTGACACCCTTTCCGATTTCCCTGACATTCGCTCCTATCCAGCAGGTCTCCTAAAGACGTAAGACTTGGATGCTCCGGTGCTTTATTAGATCAGCGACCTCTCGGGATATCCTACTAAGTGAACCCACGTTCAGAGTCCCGATTACTTCTTTGACCGATGTGGTTCGCTCCTGGGTAGCCCCCACATTCTGTCCACAGGACTGGGCGGGAGCCCTGTGCGCCGCTTCTGGGTTACGTCCTAGCTTTATCACTGGTTTCTTTTGAGACTTTTGATATGGTTGTTGTGACCGGGTTCCTCCATCAGCCTACCTGTCAACCTGGGCCTGAGGCTTTAATCGTTACCATTTTTCAATTTCTGTAAGGCACGGATGTCTTCTCGACAGGGATCAAACACTCACTCTTTCTGGGTGCAGAAGTGAGTCCACACTCTCACCCTCTCGGTCATCCCTGCTTTTCAATAACAATAAGAGTGGCTGCATAGAAGACACTCTGTACTATTATACTACAGAGTGTTAGAATACTGTTAAGAATCAAATAAATCACGAAGCCCCAGCAATAAGAAATCGAATTTCCAACATATCAGGACTTGAATCGATTAGGTGCATTCTAGTACAATTTCGTCGGCCGTATCCTTGGTCCTCGCGGGATGACTGCAAAGCAGCTCGAGGAGGATACTGGTTGCAAAATCATGGTGCGCGGTCGTGGATCAAGTCGCATGGTTTGTTCTGTCACATATTCCGAAGCTTACTAAATGTTGAACCTAGCTCACACACATTCAGAGCGGTACGAGGCGCGAACGCAGTAACGACTCCGAGCCTCTCCATGTGCTCATACAGTGTGAAGACTACGAGAAAAAAGCCCATCAGAAGATGAGAAATGCGGTTGAGGCGATCAATCAGCTCCTCCATCCTCCCGTGCGTTTTTTTTTGAAAGGCTGCGTATAACCATAAGTGTTTTGTACAGAAATAATATTATCTCAACTTTTCAGCCAGAGGGAAAGGATGAACTAAAACGTAAGCAGCTCATAGAACTCTCGATTATTAACGGAACTTATCGTCCAACTTCTGCCACCAAAGTTGCCCTTCGTGAGCTATCTTTTTGCCTTGCAACTAGTATTTTTTCTAGAACGTCAGAGCTTTAGAGACTCCACGTCCAGCATCTGCAACTCATCTTCCGTCCATGATAGAAAACTCGGCATATGCAGAACAAGCCCGCCTACTTTCTCAATTCGCTGAAGCTGCCAAGCACGGCAAAAAGAGGTAGGGGTCTTACCGAGGAATCCATCGGCTGCTTCCATAGTCCACCAGCGTGCCAACCGAGGTAGTGCTAGGGGGAGGAGGGAGGCAGAGGGTGCAAATGGTTTTTGGCCTTGTTGTTTTTTGTTTTCAGCCCTTCAAAGGGGCTTGGGCGCAACGCGACCGCGTCGACCGACCGTCTGCCGTCCTCCTCCCCTAGCACTACCTCGGCTGGCACGCCGGCGGACTATGAAAGCAGCCATTGAGATAACATGTTCCAAGTCTCACAGCTAAAATATACCTTTTAAACGGTCTTCAAGATGAAACTTCAACTTTAAGATGGCTTCAAACTTTCTACCCACCACTTTGTAGAGCAAGAGCGACTATCGTTTATAGATTCGACCGTTTCTGATGCGTCCGTCCTTTGCGGCCTGACCTTCGTGAAAATTAAAGCATTACCGAAAGTTGACGGAATAGCTGCTTTCACGTAAAAGCATGAAGCTGGTCCAAGACGACCAAGATATTTATATGTACAGCAATTTTACGTTCTGCGAATTTTCTGTAACCAATTCGCAGCACGCGGTAATCGCAACACTTCTTTATATAACTCCCTGTCAATGCAGCCTCGAAAAAAATTGGAAATTGAAGTAAATTACAGTGGACCTAGGAGTTTTTCAGACCTGACCATGATATGTGATTCAAGTAAAGCTATCTATGAGATCCACTTTCAATTTGACGGCCTCTTTTCCGGTATTGATTATGTTAACGGATATACTCCCAAAACTCCCTTTAATTACGGAAAGAGGACTGATATGAAAAGACCGGACATCAAGCGCGGTGCTGTTATGAAGAGAAACAGAAGGGTTCCGCCAGTGTAGGCGTTCACGCCATCGCACTCTTTCCTTTCCTTTTGCGGCTGATATTCTCAGAACACCTTCAGTATTTCCCTGCTCGCTAAAAAAAGTTTGGTTGATTGATTGAGTTGCGAATTCTCTTTCTGGAAGAGGGAGGAGACGGATAGTGGGATCGGTTTTGAGTAACCCTTTCCTTCCTCCCCCCCCNCCCCCCCCCCCCCCCCCCCCCCCCCCCCCCCCCCCGTTTCTTCCCATAAGATAACGTTCCTTTTCCCCGTGATTGCAAAGCAACTGAGCACGAGGAAGGACTAGCCTATCGCTGACGCTGATTTACTGTCTAGTTAGTTTTAATTAAGCGTTGCACATGTATCACCTGTATCACCTGTCGTCCCGTTAATCATCGAAATCCTCGAGCGGGCGCCAGTAACGTCTCCATTCGTCCCTGTCACGAGCCAAAGTGGTCCAGTGAACCGTTCTCGCTTCAGGGACACGAGGTTCAACATTCCTTTCGTTCAGAGCTTTCGTGAAGAAGTCTGACCATCTCGTCGGCGGCCTTCCTGGTGTTCGTTTGATGTCCCGAGGGATCCAGTCAGTAACCGCCCTGGTCCAACGGTCATCACTATATCGCATAACGTGTCCGGCCCACCTGATCTTCGATTTCTTGGCGTAATCAACGGCATCCCTGATCTTCGTTCGGTGACGGAGCTCGGAACTCCGGATTCCCTTCTGCACTTGCGTGTATAGGGAAATTCCGAGCATCGTCCTTTCCAAAGCGCGTTGAATAACGCTGACAGCATGCTCATCCTGCTTTCGTAGAGTCCAGGTCTCCGAGGCGTACGTCAAAGCAGGAAGGACAGCAGTGTCGAAAAGGTGAGCGCGGAGCCGGATGTTCTTTGTCTTCTTCACTACTCCCTCGATATTCTTAAATGCTCCCCACGCGGCGCGTTTCCTTCTGCACAGCTCTGGAGCTAGGTCGTTCATCATGTTGACTTCCCGACCTAGATACACATAGCTAGAGCATTCGGAGATATTCGTTCCGTTTAACGTGAAAGGAGCATCAGGTACCAATCCGTTTCTCATGAACATCGTCTTCGTTAGGTTCAGTCTCAAGCCGATCTTTCCACAAGCACTATCAAACTCGGCCAGCATTCGTTCCGCCTGCTCGATGTTCGGTGTTATAAGCACAATGTCGTCTGCAAAGCGGAGGTGATGTAGGAAGCGGCCGTCGACCTTCACTCCCAAGTCTTCCCATTCCAAATGACGCATGATATTCTCGAGGGCGGCACTGAAAAGTTTGGGCGAAATAGTATCGCCTTGCCGAACACCTCTCTTCACGTTGACAATGACTTCCTTATAGAATGGTGAAATCCTGGTCGTGAAACTGTCGTAGAGCTCACGAAGCATCCTTATATATTGCGTAGGAACACCCTGGTTACCCAGGGCTTCAATTATCGCTTCTGTCTCAACGGTGTCAAAGGCTTTCTTCAAGTCGATAAACGTAAGACATAGCGGCATTTTGTACTCTCGCGATACTTCAATGAGCCTTGTTAGGGTGTGGATATGATCGATTGTACTGAACCCTCTCCGAAACCCTGCTTGCTCGCATGGCTGTCCTTCATCTAATATGATGATGCGTTGCACATGTATGATCCCAAATGCGAAGAAAATTCAATAATGTCTGAGTTTTTCCAGCGAAGTTGAAGAACAGTATGCAGCTTTGGCTCAGATGCTCGGATCTTTCAATTCTGTACAAGCAGGGAACATTAATTGCAACTACTACGATTACTACAAAAACCTTCTATCGTGGGTTATCAACTGGTATAACTTTTCGGCAATTGTGGCAATGAAAGATACCTTTAGTTTCTCAACGATGAACTCGATAATTCTAATGCGTGTTTAAGGTGTACACTGGCTGATCCTGGATTTCTATCGACACTGATGCAATCGCTTGATCTTTATGGTTTGGGCAGTCGCCAAGCAGTACACCCCTCCACTCAGCATCATCATCACATGCTAAACCAATCCGTGTCCACCTCTGGCCAAATTCCCCAGGCCAATCTTCACCAGTACCTCACAGCGGCTGCGATGCTGAATTCTGCCCCTTTCTCGAACGACGGCTCCGGAGACGGACCCAAGAGCAAAATTCGCAATTCTGCTTAGAAAGAGACTGTCCTTTTTTCTTCTTTCCTTTTTTCTTGTTAATGGCTCGGTTTTCGCATGTTCGGTTCGTCCTTGGTAACCAGCGAAACACTCAGACCTATTTTTGTATTCGATTTTCGATGTTAGCCTTCTCGTCGTCCACATAACTGCGAACCTCCTTTGCCATTTAACCTTCCTGTTATCGTCATCATAAAAATGTGTGTTCGTTTCTCATTTTCGACATAAATATTTACTGTGGCACAACTGAGAGCCAACAGTTGTTGGTTCGAGATATGCGGTATCTCAAAAGCCTACACGTTCCAGCCGGAAATCTTATGTAAATCAATAACTTTTTGCATCCCTATGATTAAAAAATTCTTCTTTACCAACTCAGGTTTTTAGACCAAGGCCCTTTCCTTGCGGAACTGATGATAAAGTGCGTATTCAATAACCATTCATAACAGGTCGATTTAGCGCAGTTATACAGCGTTGCCTGAAAAGAGCAGATCTAGCCAATGACGTTTTCTCGGTTGACACGAGACAACATTAAGCACTAGTTGGTCAGAAATCGTCTTTATGACCAATTTGCATTATGGATAGCTGCGTGATCTGTCCGCATGAGGAAGTAGGAGACTGTGCACAAAGGGCTGCGGTTTACCAGCTTCAGTGTTTGACATATGATGCCTGCTATATTGGATAAACTGTGAGACAATTATGCGTTTGTATAACGGAACTCTTAGCTAGGAAACGAGGAAAACGCTTGCACTAGGAACGCACAGAATAGAAGGTCATGCTGGTTGTGGGTTTGAGTTAAATGTTATAAGACTTTTTAAAACCTGCTGCCAAAATGTTAAATAAGTTCTTATCAACTTACATTTCGGCGTAATCGCCTTCACTCTGAAGAAATCGATTACGCCGAAACGTAGGTTGATAAGAACTTATTTAACATCTTGGCAGCAGGTTTTAAAAAGTCTTATAACGTTAATGTAAAGCTATGCCAAGATTCATCGAGAGTCAAACATGGATGCTGACGTTAAATGCACGATTTTGGCCAAAGAGAACAATATTGGTGCCAGAAGAACTCTAGAGGCTTCCTGGATAAGAAATCGAAATCCAAGCATGAACAACAAGAATGAATGCATCAACATAACTGGTGACCGCTTGCTATACTTCCCTCTATGCGGGCTTTGATAGTGGGTGCTGATATGTGTCATTCACGATACTATTAATGGACAGGAATTGACTGGTAGTCTCATTTGCTTTGTCGTCTCTGAAGCTGAGTAAATGTTCGGTGTTGGCGGAGCTGACGTGAGCGACCTGTTGGGATTTCTATCTAGTTGGAAGTTCATCTGAGTTGCAACTAGTTAAGAGTTGGTCCCCTTCAGGCGTGATAGTTAACACTCTTAAATTCCGAAATGCTTTCAGCCTTTGATAACGACTAATTGTTCAAAACGTCAGGCGTAATAAATGTTCCACCATTAAAAGACCTGTTTGGCACGGGAGAATTGTTTAATCATAAATCAAACGCTCAGGTTTCAAAAAAAGGTGAACATGGAGAATAGTTTTGCATACCTTTTTTAATACAGGTCTGCTTGACCATTTGTTAGAATATCATGTTCGAACAAAATTTCTTGCGGAATTGAGTGTGTCGTTGAAGAATGTCGTCGTCTGGGAAAGGCTATCACGTTGAACAAAGACATGTGATAAAATGATGCCTATATGAAATGACAGTCAAAGAGAACACAGGAATGTTTCAATCGGGTATACCTAACAAGCTCAGAAAGCCGTAAAACGAAAAAAGGTCTTCACTCTCTTTATCAGCATCATACTAGAAAACCTTCGCCAAGTTTCTCTAACGTTTTCATAGTTCGTTTGGAAAGCTTCAATACGTGAAGAAAGCCTCAGCAGCTAACTTTTCCCTTCACATGTTCGAGGCCTTCTGAATAAAGATAGACTTGCGGTATCAATATGTGCAACTCGTGTAAAGGAGAGGAGCAAAAAGTAAGGTAAAGTTGCTGAACAAATAATAGCTTGATTGAGCAGCGATCCTGCTTGTATAGTAGTGTCTATTTTCTGATAGGGAAAATTTTTTAGTTATGGCGGTTCGGTTAGACTAACATAAGTTCATAATGTGGTGAAGGATTGGGGTGATGTGAAAAGGCAGTAATTTATGCTTAATACGATCTCTGGGCGGCTGGAGAGAGGCGCCATGTATAGAGTACTAACTTTCTGAAAATTGTTTCCTTCACAATCTCTGGCTTTTCATCTACGTTGACTTTTTTATACTTATCTATACTGTAGCGATTTCTCTCGTGGGCGTTGGAAAAAAACGAGTCATAGATATTACTGACAGGAACTCGTGCCTTCCGATAAGTGCGTTGAGCGTAGACGATGGCTTAAATAAGATGCTTACTTGAATGAATATCAGAAAAGGTTAAAAGCTTTCATGGAGAAGAAAACAGACTGCACGAAAACCGTTTTTACGGGTAGCAAACCCAACGTTCCCTTGAAACGTGAGAACACACCTCTGCGCCTTAGGGGTATCTGCTAGACGGATAGCTGCGTACTTTGATTGAAACTATCTCCAAGCAACTTCGATTGGCTTATGTTTTTTCTGGGAGGAAGTTTCAACTTTTTCTTATGTAAACAGCATTCTAGCTCTATCGTTATATCTAGGCCTTCATTCAAAGTTACAAGCAAATTTGAAATTATTCATGGTAAGACTTATCGCCCGCAGCAATATATAGAATACGGTACAGATGGATAAGTACTATTATACGATTTCAAGAAGCGATTACAGCGTCTAAAAATTCATCTCACATTGCTATCTAATCTAGTCGCCATTGATACATGCGATTAAACCACATAGGGTGCTATTGAACGATTGCAAGTAATTTTGGAGCTGACAGACGCATTGATTTCATTTATGTGAGTATAGAGGTAGTGAATAGTTTGGACTCTTACATGTGTCATTACCATCGTGTGGAAATTTCAACAAGAATAACGACTGGTAAAGATATATCAGATGAGCCTATGCATAATGCAATAGTAATATGTGCAGTGGTTATCGTAATATAAGAGAGTACTCAACAAACTAAACAACAAACCATGAAGCAAATGGTGAGGACATAGGTAAGAATTTAATTAACTTTGAAACTCTCCTAGCGCTTCTACGGGGAGAGCTTGCGTGGCTGTCCGCCCCCCCCCCCCGCCCTCTCTTTCAAAAGAGTATGGTGTTATATGGGCCAGTAGAGATTGGCTTTGCTTGAAGTATGCATGTCTCTGGGGGTTGAAAGAGCTAAAGGAAGCCTCGAGGACCCGGGCCGAAGGAAGGTAGCAATCTCCTGGGTAGAAAGATACTCGAATAAGGCGTGCTACTGTGTACCAAAATGTATAGCCCACCGCCAACTGCGCAGTCTTGGGTTTTGGAATGTCAAAATGCGTTGTAAATATGCAAAGCATCTGGTACGCGCATGGCTTGGGCTTCATTGAGTAGCTCCTTGGAGTGAACCTGGGCCAGCGCCGCTGCTTGGATAGCCTTTGGGTTGCTCATTGTGCTCCCACCCTTGGTGACCTTTCCATCTCGTGCGGTCGGATTTTTGTACATGCTGAGAAGGTGGCACTTACCGCTTAGTGCTTCCAGAAAGGAGTGCTGCATCACTCTGTCCATCTCCTGCAGCGGTTCACAGAAGTAATTAAGAGCTGCTAGAGCAGTGAACTACGATCTGTATCTAGCTTCTGCAGAACACTTGGCAAAGTAAAGATTCGTAGTTTTTGACGTAAGTATGTCGTGCATGTAGGATCTGCTTCTATATTACTGGAATTTTTCCATTCAGAAGTGTATGTTCTGATAATAGGGGGTGCTGTCCGAGTCGATTAAACCTGTAGTAACGTTACTGACGCGCGGAAATGCCAACTGCTCCGATTTGGCCAGGCTTCAGCTCCCTTAAATCATGGAGCTGAAAAATTGGAGCATGAGGTAAGCACACTTTTTACAACTCGCGCAACAGCTTGAAGGACACTTCATTTTGGTCTTGTAGGGAGTCAAAGTTTTGTGGGATGTATGTGTGTACCCCTGTTTTTTTCTCGTAGTCACAGTAGAACTTTTCAACTAACAACTTTATGAAACTAGTAACAGCAATTAATGCGTTAGAATACAATAGATCGAATATTTGATGAGGTAGTGGAGATGGGTGGCGAGTGTAGTGAAGCTGACGACGAACGGCGGTGGCGACACGACGACGACAATGGAATCCAAAGTAGAGAACCGCTACTTGCGTTTTTCTTGCCCTTTCATACGTGGTTTTTCCCGTGCCATCCTTGCCAACGGCATGATAGGTGGTCAGAACAGGGCCATCCACCGTGATCGCGGGGCGGTCACCGGCCACATTTGACCAACCTTTCTGACATGCCGGGGGTGAAAAGAACATTGTGGCTCCACTCCACTATACCGTAACAGCTTACAACTCTTGCATCTTGTGGGTGGCGGCCCTGATCTTGTCCAGCAATCTGTTCTGCGCCCTTTTCCGGTGTTGTCGATTGACACCATGAAGCCCACCAGAGCTTCCCTTTGGGAGGGCCGGCTTTCCTCGCTCCCTTCGTTTTTGCGTTCGAAAAGGCGCCAACCGAAG